TCATAAAGATATCTCAATTTTTACTCAAGTTACAGCTTGCACGGACGGACAGACGGACGGACGGACAGACAGTCACCCGGACAGTCAACTCGTCTCTTCATCCTGATCATTTATATATATATAACCCTATATCTAACTCGATTAGTTTTAGGTGATACAAACAACCGTTAGGTGAACAAAACTATTATACTCTATAGCAACAGGTTACGAGAGTATAAAAATGTATTATAAATCAAATAAATACGTACTTTGAATAGTTGAATTTTTGAACTTTAAATGCAAATGTCTCAAAAACTATAAGTCAGCGGCAACTATATACTATATATATTTTCCTTATTTGGAGCTTAGTTATAGCACTTTATAAGTTTTCGGTTAAGGGCATTTAGTGGGGCTGGCAATGGCCAGATTCCGCCTATCTGCAATACCAACTTTACTTGGGTGCCAAGGAGCACGTGTATTTTTTTACTTAAGCTGTCGCTTGCACGGGTGAACGAATAATTAAATATTTATTTATATATGCATATAAATGTCTATCTTGATTAATTTTTGGTGTTATGAACAAGCGTTAGGGTAGTGTTCCCCTGTATTACTTTACAGTGTGTCCAGCAGCTTTTAAGGTTCGTTTTATTACTATTTACAATCATTTGTTTTACTATTTACAATATTTTGATTATTGACAGGAATTCTCTATTTGGTACAGATCATATCATAAGAGTGTAGAAAAAATGTCTTTAAACTGTTGACAAGTATTTGTAAAAATGTTTAAATAATATTTATTTTCAAATCCTTGCCTTTGCTGAATATTAAATGACAAACAAGATTTTTCGAAGAGATTTTTCCGAGTGTTTATTGCGTCGAAACACCAAGTGATGTCGTATCTGCTCTTGTTTCGAACCACTTCACTTTGCCGTTAGGGTCAGTTTTACCTATGTATAGTACTTAAATGACAACAAAATATTTCAATTTATATCTAAAATTTTGTGTTAATCGTAACGGGGAAATATTATGTACATGACTATAGATATGTACATATCAATATATCATAATTATGATTTATAATACATAAAGCACAAGCTTTTGTATTTTCAACAATGTATTGAGCGTGTGCATTTATATCGATATGTTAGAGCGTCTGACTGACCTATAGTATAACTATAGCATGATTATGCGCGTGCGCCGCCCAAACCTTTAGTTGTACATGCATATTTATACATACACACGATTTCATCATCCCTATGTCATAAGTACATTGCACTTGTTAGAACTCCAATAAAAAATAAAAACTATTATGTTTTCATTCACGCCAAGTTATCAACCACCAACACCAACGTGACCATATGAATCGCCTGCAGGAAATTCACCAACCACCATAACACAAAAAAAACAGAACGAACACATAAGGACGTACACATAAATGAGTATGTAAATAAATATATGTATATGTATATATATATATATGTATATATGTAAATATATGTATATATGTAAATATATGTATATTTGTAAATATATGTATATATACAAATGCTATGTACAGAAATTGAAATTTAACTGACTTTTCTTCTCTTCTTGGGGTGTGGAAATCCCTTTAAATTATTTAAACTGAACGCAACCTTCCTTCTATCGGTAATAATATGACTATTTGAAAGGAAGAACATTATTTTTATACTCTCGCAACATGGTGCTACAGAGTATAATAGTTTTGTTCACCTAACCGTTGGTTGTATCACCTAAAACTAATTAGATATAGGGTTATATAGACGAGTTGAAATCCGAGTGACTGTCTGTCCGTCTGTCCGTCCGTCCGTCTGTGCACACTGTAACTTGAGTAAAATTGAGATATCTTTGTGAAACTTGGTACGCATGTTTCTTGGTACCGTAAGACGGTTGGTGTAATCAGACCACTGCCACGCCTACATACGCCATTAATCAAAAACAAATAAATTGCTATAACTAGACTGTTATTCGGTATACAGGCTCACATTAGGGAGGGGCATCTGCAGTTTACATTTTTTTAAAAAAGAATGCGTGGTGCTGCATTATAATAGGTTTATTGTACATATCTCCTAAACCGCTGAAGCTATAATATCAAAATTCACTGAAATCAAATGTCTATCGACATTGTAAAAATAGGTGAAATCGGGTAACAACCCCGCCCACTCCCCATATAACGGTACTGTTAAAAACTACTAAAAGCGCGATAAATCAAGAACTAAACACGCCAGATACATTACATTTTATCTCTGTGATGGTATGAGATGACTTTATAGGAAACGCGTTCAAAATTAGACGGTGGGCTTGTATCTTGGAATTTGCTTAACTGATTTCAACCAAATTCGGTGCATAAGAATGTTATATTATAGTGTGAAAATGGGCGAAATCGAATGACAACCAAGCCTATTTCCCATATAACACAATATTAAATTCCATTTGATGTTTTCATTTCCCATTATGCAAATAAAGCATCAATGATTGTATCGGGGTAAAACTTTGCGTGAATAATGCGTTTAAACGATACCACCTTGTGACCAAAAATTGTCTAAATCGAACTAATACTGTTCAAGCCCCTAAGTTCGACTTGGCTTTTTACCGAAAATATCGTTCAATTTGTAAGATATATAATTGAAATTCATGTAATAAAATAAATAAAAGAAACTCTCAATAATAGTATGTTTTTGTGTCAAAATTGATTTTGAATCGAATCAATACTTCCTATAGCCCTCATATACCTAATATAAAGATTTATGAACTTCCGGGTGACTTTATACTGCATATATCGGCCAATATGTGAGTTATCTCAATGAATATGAGCTTAAAATGTATCAAATTGGGTGAATACTTTACCTAGACCATGTAACTAATATCAGGATTTTCGAACGATCGTCTGAATTTACTCTATATGATTGGTGATGGTATGTGAGGTATCTTAATGAAACAGTGGGAGCATTTTATAAGTCTGTGGCATGTTCTTAGTATGTGGAATTGGCAAAAATTGATAAAATCGGGTTAATACTATCCTCAATTTCCATATACTACTTACTAATGCTTTTCGGTATTCTAACCAGTTGTATGCCAAATATGTCGGTCAGTGAGGATTAATATATTTTTTCTCAAACGAGTATACCATTTGACTTTCCGAGAGTATAAAATGTTCTGTTACATCCGAACTTAGCTCTTCCTTACTTGTTTAAAAATTATTATTTTCAATAACCAGTGTCAAAATGTGATTTATGCCGTATACGGAAGATTGTTTTATATTCTTATGCTCAAGAGGGTCACATTTTGATGAGAACGGATGTTGAATTGTCGTCTAATGGTACAGTTTATTATTATATTCATTCATCTAAAGATCATACTTGTACTAAGAAATTATTATATAATTAGCATGTGATCAATCTACTCTTAAATGCAAGTGAAGCTATACAATTCGTCTGGCATTTAGAGATAGAAAAAACTATACATAAATCATAAAGCCTTTAAACTGGTCATTCATATAATTCGAAGCTTATTTCGTAATCGTTTTGACCTTGTTAATATACATGAATACAAGGTGCGTTTCAAAGTAAACAGTAAAATAGTAACAAAGTAAACTAGTGGCGCCATCTACATATATGTCGACTAGTGCTTTAGAATCTGTTATCCTTGATCGACTTCTAGTAAAATTTCCATGACACTTCATCTATTGGAAGTGAAGTTATTGTGTTTTAAGTGTCAGTATGTTTTTGTCATTGGTGCGAAAATAAGCTTGGAACAAAGAGCCAACATTAAATTTTGTTTTAAAATTGGTAAAACTTTTACCGAAACGTTTCAATTGATGAAACAAGTTTATGGCGATGATTGACTATCCCGTAGCAGGGTGCACGAGTGGTTTCAACGTTTTCAAAGTGGTCGTGAGGACATAAATGACGATGAACATGAACCCAAAAAATCGCGCCTGGAGAAGTCAAAAGTGAAGACAATGCTGATTGGTTTTTATGATTCCAAGGCCAAAAACGTTGATGCGGTATTCTACCTTGGAGTTTTGAACGCCGTGTTGGTGCGCCGTATTCGACGTGTTCGCCCCGAATATCGCGAAGATGGAAGTTGGCGTTTGTTGCACGATAATGCGCCGTCTCATCGATCGACGCTTGTAGCCGATTATTTGACCAAAAATCAAATTTTAACAATCAACCACTGCCTGTATTCACCTGATATGGCACCGTGCGACTTCTACCTTTTCGGAAAAATGCATTTGCTGATGAAAGGAAAGCGTTATTTTGAATAAAATTAATTGATTTTGCCGATAAAGCCATTTCTTCTGTCTTTTTTTTAAAAGTCCTGCTTACTTTGGAACGCACCTTTTATAGTACCAGAAAATTTTTTTTGCGATTACGTATCCAAAAAAAAACCTTTTGAGCATTTCACAAAAATTCGTTATACATACTTACATATCTTACTACATGTTCTGAAAAATCCTTGGCTTAACTTTTATCACGACAAGAATATTGTTTATCGATTGTTATACCATTGCGAGATAGTCGAAGCGAAAAATTCCCCGTGAGTCCCAAAAATGCTGGTCAAACCCTTGATCCCCTTGGCTCCGTTGAAATGGGAATGCTGTTAAGTGAATACGATAACGACGAAAGTCAGCAAACCAATACTTTTCCATTGAATATTTTGCGGTAGATTTTCCGTAACATAGCAATGGCTTTGTATGAACTGTATATTTTTTCATTCAGAAATAATGTTTTATCAGAAAATTATTATTCGTTTTCCATTGTAAACAAAAATAACACAGGAAATGTCACTCTGAGAACAGTTGCATGAAATTGCATATAAACTTGACAGTATTTTTGTTGAGATTAGTTCTGTAAGGCTTGTGACGATCGGTTAGCTCAACGTCTTTATAGCTAATGTATTTATTTTTGACCTAATAAGGTTAGTAGTAATTAGTTGCTAAGGTATCTGCTGTACTGTAGATTTCTGTTAAAGTATTAATATAACGAATATCCTTTTTTCAGGCAAATAAAATTGGTCTCTCTCCATTTTTCTGTCACAATGGCGATCCTTTGACGACACCACCCCCTGCGCACTGTGGTATACCTCCATATCAGCTGGACCCGAAAGCAATGGGTAAGTACCAATATTCTTTGAGATATGCCGCAAATAAATTAAACATTGTATTAACTATTTCCCGAATTATTGGCTATATCTTCCCCCTGAGTTTACTAATGTAATTTGGCAGACTCAGTTTTACATTAATTAAGGGTGTTCTAATTAATTTATTAACAACTTCAAGTAAATGAAGCTAACGGAAACCATATAATTTGCACTGATGAAAGATTTTATACGTTGCTAAATCTTTTAAGATTTTCATTTAAAAAAATTGCTAAACAGAAATTGAAATAATTTTTACAAAATAATAATTTGGTTAACCTTAAGTCGGGACGTCGTCATTAGTCTAGTTATGCTGGATTTAGCAGAGATACCTTAAATTAATGTAAAATAATAGTGAGAAAGGTGAGTTTAGGTGAGCATAGCTCACTTTAGGTGTTGTTTTGTATTTAAACATTTTGAGCAGCAAGACCAACCTAGTTAACTCAAATGAGATATATCAATCAGGGGCTAAACTTAATACATGATTTATATGAGAAAAACATCAACCAAGGAATGGAAAATGCCTATTTCATTCTGGACTAATGAAAATTATCCTGGATCGATATCGAAAATTTTCGTCATTAAACTCTAGTATATTCAATATTATACGTTCAGTTCATTTTGCTAAGGTATCTTAAATATTTACATATGATGCTCTCGGAATTTCATTAAGAAACCTTACAGATTCACCAATAGGTAAGGTATAAATTCGAGCGGATGTTTGAAATTCCGAATATTAGGTATATGAGGACTTGGGTAAGTATTGCCCTGATTTCATCCATTTTAGGCAAGAGGATACACTGTTAAAAATATATTATTTCTGAACTTCATTAAGATTTCTTAAATATTGACCGATAGCTGTGGTATAAAGTCAACCGGAAGTTCAAAGTTAGGTTAGTTATTAAGACCATTTGACCTGTTTTTGGCACAAGGTCATGTCGTGATCAAAAAAATATTCTCCTCAAATTTCATTACTAGACCTCACAGATTGTCCAATATGTTCGGTAAAAAATCAAATATATGCACTGGTTCCACATATCTGGCGTCTGGGTCCTTGAAAACTTATGGTCCGATTTCGACAATTAGTGGGCGTAAAATGTAATACCTTGAGAGTATTATTTGTGCAAAGTTTTATTCGTATAACTTCATTGATGTTTAATTTGCATACTATAAAGTTAAAGAATCGGAAAAAATAAAAAGTATGATAGGAATGTTTGGATAAATTTGAATTGAACTTGGTCTAGTAGTTCGTAAAATATAGGGTATCACCTAAAGGTGGGCAGACCTGCTCCAATAAAGCCCTTCTCTACCATCTTGGTTGTAAAATTTAATGCTAGAGGAGCATTTACTCAGAGAGTTATCACGTAGTTATTATCTGATATTATTTATTGTATAAAAAAGTGCTAAAAGGGTTCTTTCTCAGCAAGTTTGGTTGATTTAGCTTCTGTGGTTTGGAAGATATGTACATCAAACCATGAACGTTTACAGTATTTTTCCGGGCAAGATTTTCCACAAGATTATTACTTGAATCATAAGTCTTAAAAACCGGGTTATATTGGCAGCAAAAATGTAGATGTTGACGAAGTCTATTTCCTGATACAACAAATATTGCCATGCAATCTGACGAATTCTGAATCTATCGACCTTTTTGTTGATGAAAATGGAAGCATATATTTTCAAACAGAATTTCTAAATACCTACATTATAGATATACCCAAAGTGCACCTTTCAAATTTTCGGTTGAATATTTGCTCACCTTTATTCTTCTAATAGAAGGTAGCCAAAGACGGATTAACCAATAATAGTTGTCTTAGATTCGCTAAGCGTTTGAGTGTAGTAAATCGAACAAACTATATCAGTTGTCCAAAAAAACTGGCATGATTTGCGTTGCAACCCTGTGCTATCATGTCCGCTGACGCAAGCGTAATTGTAATTCGCTTCTATTCGTGATGGAGAATTTCTTCTTTATGTCATAAGAAACATATTAGTAACCTCTTAGTTTTGAGGCTTAACTTTTCTATAAAAAACCACACTTTATTTCAAGTTTTGAGATTTGAAAATATAAAAAATAACAATAGAAAGATGTTGTTATTTTCCATCTGTCCCTCAGTTTTTGGGATATCGATCTAAAATTTTGCACGTTCTTTTCACCCCTCCAAGTTGCTTATTTGTGGGAAACGCCGATGTCAGACAACTACAGCATATAGCTGCCATACAAACTTAACGAAAGGAATCAAGTTGTATAAAAAATTTTTGGATTTGACGAGATATCTTAACGAAGTTTGGCATTTATTATTATCCTGATTTTATAATATTATACCTTGGCCACAGCAAGGCGATGGCGGGGTTTTCTAGTATTGTTATATACTTTCATCATAATGGTGCTAGAGAACTACAATTGATCGCATTTCGTACTAATGCATTTCTCTGTAGAGCACATATCCATGTATACATTGGGGTGGGTAAATAAACGAAGGTTTTTTTCCGCTTGGTATTCCAAAGACCTTCCTGTTGAAATTGAGAGCTGATACTTAGAGAGCCTTTCTTAGAGTGTCTACCAATCAATTCTTCGGAGTACCAAGCGAAAATAAAACATTTTTTTTTACCCAATCTAATACATTCTTGCTTACCATAAGTGTTAGCTTCCCTATACCACTAATGCACTACCATAGTTAATAGCGTTCGTTTACGCTTCCTGTGAGCAATCATACAATCAGTGGACTTTTTAATTTTCCAGTAAAGGCAAATAAACAAAAAACAAAAACCATCAACAAAGTCAATCAACATCCATTGAAGAATGCCGTTTGTTTCGTCGAGTTGTGGTGTTTGAGAACATCAATTGCCATAGAACCATATGCAGTTGCATGTAACGATGAGCATGTACTGTGTATGTATCCATTTTGTGGAGTAAAGAACTTTTGTAACTGCGCACAGCGCAATATATAACGTTTGCAAAAAAAAAAAACAAGTAAGGAAGGGCTAAGTTCGGATGTAGCCGAACATTTTATACTCTCGCAAAGTCAAATGGTATACTCGTTTGAGATTTCTTTATGGATTTACTGATATTTTCGGTAGAAGGTCAACTATAGGCACTGGGTTCGATTTAGACAATTTTTGGTCACAAGGTGGCATACTTTAAACGTATTATTCACGCAAAGTTTTACCCCGATATAATCATTGTTGCTTGATATGCATAGTGGAAAGTGAAAGAATCAGATGGAATTGAAAATGGTGTTATATGGGAAATAGGCGTGGTTGTAGTGCGATTTCGCCCATTTTCGCACTATGACATAGAAATATAAAAAGAACGTTATACACCGAATGGTTGAAATCGGTTAAGCAGATCCCAAGATATGGGGTTTCACTTAAAGTGGGCGGTGCCACGCCCACTGTCTAATTTTGAACGCGGTTCCTATAAAGTTATCTCATACCATCCTAGAGATAAAATTTAATGTCTCTGGCGTATTTCGTGCTTGATTTATCGCGCTTTTAGTAGTTTTTAACAGTACCGTTATATGGGGAGTGGGCGGAGTTGCCACCCGATTTCAACTATTTTCACACTGTAGGTAGAGGTTCTAAAAACATTTGCTTCCAGTGAATTTTGTTATTATAGCATTAGCGGTTTAGGAGATATGCACATTAAACCTATTAAGGGCGGGACCACGCCCACTTAAAAAAAAAATTTAACTGCAGATGCCCCTCCCTATTGTGATACTGTATACTAAATAAGAGTCTTGTATTCTATTGCGGAGCTTAGTTATGGCAATTTATTTGTTTTTGATTAATGGCGTTTTGTGGGCGTGGCAGTGGTCCGATTACGCCCATCTGCAATACCAACAGTCTCCCGGTACCAAGAAACATTTCTACCAAGTTTCATAAAGATATCTCAATGTTTACTCAAGTTAGAGCTTGCACGGACGGACGGACGGACGGACAGACAGTCACCCGGATTTCAAATCGTCTCTTCATCCTGATCATTTATGTAGGTATATATAACCCTATATCTAACTCGATTAGTTTTAGGTGATACAAACAACCGTTAGGTGAACAAAACTATTATACACTGTAGCAACAGGTTGCGAGAGTATAAAAGAAACGACATCAATATATCCAAGCAAACTAACCAGGAAATGAGTTGAACATATCTGGATTAAGTACAAGACACACTTGGTGCAGCTTGAATTGAAGAAGCTCAATGTTGTTTATAACGGCGTTGTGGACCACCTCTTACAGTATAAACATTATTTCTAACAAGTAAGTAAGGGCTAAGTTCGGGTGTAACCGAACATTTCATACTCTTGCAACTTGCAAGGTTTAAGGCCGATTTAGGTGTTCGCAAAACTTATTATATTAAAAAATGTTGCGAAATAATTCAACATTCATTGTTCGACGAAATCGTGAATTGATTACGATCAAATTTAGTATGTACCTTATTAATCTTTTTTGAAGGTTTTAGGCTAACTTAGTTTTATTTCTTAAAAATTATATTAAAATCATCCTTTAATGAGAAATAAGTGATATAAGCTCAACCGAAGAAGCTAAATTTAATATAATGAGTTAATGTGAAAACGTCAACCAGAGGATAGGAATTCATTGTATTATTGATATAAGGTTTAGATCAAGGTCAAGACCATTTAATTTTATTAAACTATTACACATTTTGACCAATCTAAACGGTTTAAAGTCAGGAATGGAATGGAATGAAGGGGAGATTTAGCCATGTCCGTCTGTCTGTATATGTACAAACTAGTTCCTCAGTTTTTAAGCTATCGATCTAAAATTTTGCACGTGTCCTTTTTTCTCACAAAGAAGCTGCTCATTTGTCGGAATGGCCGATATCGGACCACTATAGCATATAGCTTCCATACAAACTGAACAATCAAAATGAAGTGCTTGAATGGAAAACTCTTTCATTTGACGAGGTACCTTCACGAAACTTTGCATGGATTATTATTTAAGGCAATAATCGAATCGTC